TGCCACCCACCCCCCTCCCCAGCTTCTGGGGCACTTGGTCTGGGCTATGCCTTGGGTATTGGCTATTCAGAAGGCCCCAGGCCATTCTAACCTGCAGCCAGAGTTGGAGCCATTGTTCTGACAGTTCCTCTTTCCAGCCCACTCAAGTCTTTAAAAGGCTGTGGTTTCTTGCCAACAAGTGTGTTGTCAGAGCAGCATGGCATTCCAGCCTGAGAGGTGTTTATGGGGTGCCCACCGATCGAGCGTTGAGCATCTTCTGTCTTATGTGCCTCCATGGGAGGCAATTCCTTTGACTCCCCACCACCGGGTCCCCACTTTGCAGATGGGGAAATTGAGGAGACCTGTCCATGGCTACCCAGCCAGGCAGGCGCCCCTGATGGGCAGGAGTGTCATCTCTGGCTTGCATCTGTGTCCCCCACAAAGCCCCTGTCTCTCTCAGGGCTCCTGAGCCTAACCCGCCTTTCTGTGCCACTCAGGAGTAGAGAGTCCGACCCACGAGATTCGAGCCGACGCCGCCCCGTCCGCATGCTCGGCCAAGAGCATAATCATCACCTTGGCCAACAGGCACACCTTCGACCGGCCGGTGGAGATACTCATCCACCCCAGCGGTACCGTGCCCGCCTGGGGGGACCCCTGGGAAGCCTGTGGGAGGGAGGAGGTGCTGAGCCCGTGGGGCACAGACAGGTGGCCCCTCACCCAGTGGTCAGCCAGGGAAAGGGGTGGGGTGCGTGGCAGAGGAGAGGAGACCAGCCTCCTAGGAAACTTGGCTCCAGCTGGTGGAATTGAGTATCTCCTGCCCCAGAGGCTCCAGGTCTCGTGCACCCACTGGGGCACTTTGTCTGCGGGCCAGCTGAGCAGAGGATCTTTGAAACCCGAGCTCGGGAAAGCCTGGCAGCGCTGACCTCTCGGGGAACAGCTCTTTTGTCTCTAAGAATTCATTAGAAGGCCAGGACCTGAAAATATCAGAGCGACCAGTCCCACTCCCATTTTACAGATGGATAAACTGAGGCCCAGAGAGGGGCCATGGGTCAGCCATGGCCACCAGGCACTTCTGCCTCCCAGCTAAGGAGTTTTCTCATGGCCCCATCCTGCTTCGGGCAGCCAGGGCTTCTGTACCTCTCTTCCTTCTGGGAGTCCTCCCCACTCTGAGGATTCCGCCCCTAAGCTGAGGCCCCTGGCATCACCCTCACACTCGGGCACATGCCAAGACTTGATCTCATCTCTGCAGAACCCCACATGCCACATGTCCTGATGGAGAAAGGAGACATGACCGTGGGAGAATTTGAGCAGCACCTGAGGGGAAGAGCAGATTTCATTAAAGGGATGAAGAAGGACAGCAGTGCAGAGCGAAAGGTGAGGGTGACTGAAGGAGCAAGCCAGGGGTGGCAGAACCGGGGTGGCACTGGGGACTTGGACTTCACTGTGGAGAACAAGCTGGGGCGGCGACTTGGACTTCACTGAGGAGAAGGAGCTGGGGCGGGGACTTGCCTGAGGTCACGCAATGGCTGGTGGCAGGTCCTCGCCAATGTTTCCCTTGGGTAGGTGGGGAGGGGGGGGAGGGCAGCAAAGGGCCGGGGCACTGCGGGGCAGAAGCAAATGGCTCTCAGATGTAGCAGTCACCCTGGTGCTGTCCTCACACTGTCTGCCAGGTCACCTCTAGTGCAGCGGTTCTCACCCTGTGGGTCGCGACCCCTTTGGCGGTCGAACAACCCTTTCACAGGGGTCGCCTAAGACCATCCTGCATATCAGATATTCACATTATGATTCATAACAGTGGCAACATTACAGTTATGAAGTAGCAACGAAAATAATTTTATGGTTGGGTCACAACATGAGGAACTGTATTTAAAGGGCCAGAAGGTTGAGAACCACTGTTCTGGTGGCTAAGCCAGGTACCTAAGGTACCAAGGTACCTAAGCCAGGTAAAATTCTCAGCTAGTGCTTCCCCAGGTATTACCCCGTGAGTGGTACCTGACAGCTGGTGCACTCCCAGCTCTTTCTTTACTCCTGGGCCTCTGTTTTCGCACCTGTTGAATGGGTCTCTCACTGTTCCTCCTCTGGGTCCTCGGTGGCTGTTACATAGACAGTAAAGACAGGGAAGTGAAAGCCTAACAAAGATCCTGCCCCTCTGCCTACCCTCTCCCCCACAAAGCCAAAGGACAAGAGACCCTACGCTGAGGGGCTGTGTGGGGAAGAAATGCTAGGAGGCTCAGCCAATGGCCACAAATTGTACCGGCAGTCGCCCTCCTGTTCATGACCCTGCACACCAAGCCGGGTCCTCAATGCCAAGATACCTTTAAGAATGATGGCCCACTTCTTCTTATTCTCTTCGCTTGTTGGCTGAAAAAACTGAGGTTTAGCACCCCAAAATAACTATGAGCTGGGGCATGGGGAAGACCTTTCTCTTGGGATTTGACTTGGATGGCAACAAAGCTAAGGACTTAGACTCAATCCGAGGGGCAGTGATACTAGATTAGGAGCCCTTCCCGTTCCTGCAGGCCTGGCTGGCAGAGGATGTGGCCGCTGAGGAGTGTACGGAAACACATGTAGACAGCCCACTGCTCACCCCGACTATTAGAGGTCCCACTGGAAGCCCCTGCTTGGTGGGGTAGGGAGGATGACAAAAGGAAGGTGTAGATGGCTCTGTGCCCATCACATCACTGCCAGTTAGCGACCCACTGGAAATACCTCTCCCAGAAGTGCCCCCTCACCCAGATGAGTCAGATAGGAGAAGAGCCTGAGCCAGGTTCTCAGAGTGGGGGTGGCAATGCCAGGTGTGTCCTGAGCTCTGAGAACTACAGCATGTGGACAACGTGGTGGGGGGAACAATGGGCCTCCCAGGCTGGAGCTGGGTCCCCTGCCTACCAAACCTTAAGTCAATTAGCTCTGGGACCACTGAAGTGAATGAGAATTAGTTTGCCACCTTGGGTTGGTTATGCAAATACCCTGTATTCTCATGAGCTCCAGGAATGACAGCCATCAGCCTGAAGCTGCCCCAAAGTGATGAGTTTATTATAATTAGATAATGGCAACTTGAGGAGCCATTGGAGAATCCTGAGCCAGGGGCCCCCACTCTCTGAGAGGCTGTTACTGCCTTGGGCTCTGTCATCGAGAGAGCCAGGCCGGGCGTGGCTCTGGCAAAGGAGCTCCCTGCGGGACAGAGAGCCTGATCCTTTGCCAAGGAGGGAGGCGGGCAGCCAGAAGGCAAATGTCAATCAGGAAGAGTGGGAGGGACAAGCTGTCAAAACTGTGATTTAGCAAAGAGGGAGCAAATGGCACAGGAAGATAACCGTGTAGAAAAGACGGTGATGCGGTGAGAAGCAGAGACAAATAGAGAAAAAAACAAACTTGCACACACAGGTCGGTGGTAGACGGACCCACACGGATTCATTCTCTCATTTATTCAGTCAACAAACACTACGTGTCCAATAGATATCAGGCTCCATTCTAGCACTGGGGAGGCCACACTGAAAATGACACATCCTTGTCCTCATGGGGCTTACCTTCTGACACAGGGAGGTACGCAAGAAGTAACCAAATGAGCACAGTCCGTTTGGAGAGGCCGGGGATCAGGAGAGAACTAAAACAGGATGATGTGGGAATGAGTGGCAAGCACTGGCCACTGTTCAGCCTGGTGTCTAGAAAAAGCCTATCTGAGAATGAGACCTGGTGGACGGTGAAGAACTGGAAGCAGAATAATGGTGACATGTTTGGGAAACAGGCGGCTGTGTGGGTGAAATGTGGGGAGTGGGCAAAGATGAGGTGGACAGGCAGGCCGGGGCTAGGCCCTGGGGGCTTCATAAGCCATGGCACAGGGTATGAGGGGAAGCCATTTCTCAGGCAAGAGAATGGCAAGAATGATCTCGCTGCCTGCTCTACATAGAATGGACCACCGGGAAGTCAAAGTGGAGGAAAGGGGCCAGTAAGAGGCGATGGCAAGGGCCCAGGCAAGAGATGGTAGTGTCCTGAACTTGGATGGTGGCAGTGGAGACAGAAAAGAGCACACATTCGGGGTGTGTTTTAGCTGCAGAACTAGCAATCCTTTGCTGAAGGAGCAAGAGAGGAAGCAACGACAACTCCTCCGTCTTTGGTTTGAACACCTGGATGGGTGATGATGTCATCTACTGAGTTGGGGAAGGGATGCGAAGAGACCAAAGCTGAAAAACAGACACAAAGGGACCCGTCCACCCAGAGGCAGTCAGAGGCGGGAGATGGAGAGAGAGGGAGGAAATGGGATTCGGTACAGAGCGACTGGGAGAGTCAAGGAGGAAGGCCCAGCACCACGTCAGCCAGGAGAACACACGAAAAGGTCAAGAACTACAGGGCTGTTCTCCCTTTGTTTACCGAGCCCACCTCTGCACCAGGCTCTGTGTTAAGCCCTAGAGAGAAAAAAGCAGCTCAGGCATGGCCTACCTTCAAGTAACACACAAGCGAGAGGGGAGGCAGAGAGATGAGCACAAAGCTGCCTGTGAGCAATGCCTGAGGCCATGACAACCCACAACATGGCTACCATATAGCCAACAGCGGGCTTCACAAGCATTGCCTTTATTCGTACAACTTGGGGAGGCACGTACTCTTGTCCTTAGTTCATAGATGAGGAGACCACGTAATTGAGTCCACCTGGAAGATTGGGGCAGGCTTTCCAAAAGGTAAAATTTAGAAAAAGAATAGAAAGTTATCAGTGGGAGAGACTCAGTAAACCAGAGAAGCCAAGGTCACAGCCCAGAAAAGCCAGAGAGTAGCTCAGACACTGAGTGTGAAAGAGAAAGAAACCGCTACTCAGCGGAAGGCCTGCACGTGTGCCGAGGCCTCCCATCTGGGCACTAGCTCAGTTCGTCCTCATAATCGCCCTGAGAAGGAAACATTAATTGTGCCTTGTTTTTAAAATTAAAGAAACAGGCCCAGGGAGGGACTTGTTCAAGGTCACACAGTGAGACGGTGACAGAGCTGGGATTCAAACCCAGACCTTCTGCCTCCAAAGTCCATGTTTGCTGTTGCAACCAGTGACACGCCAGCAAATAGAGAGCCAGGTGCAGTCAACCTGGAAGTCCCGAGTGCAGAGTATGAGCGGGATCTTAGCTATACTTGGTGAGTAATGGGAGACCACGTGAGCAGCATGGACCCCTTGAATACCAAGTGAGAGTTTTTCTTTCTCCTCCAGACAGAAATCATCCGGAAACGCCTCCACAAGGACATTCCCCACCATTCTGTCATCATGCTCAACTTCTGTCCTGACCTCCAGTCGTTCCAGCCGAACCTGAGGAAGACCCATGGCGAGTTTATCTTCCTCATTGACAGGAGTGGCAGCATGAGTGGGACCAATATCCACCGTGTCAAGGTACCTGTTAGAGGAACCCTCCCCGGGGTCTTGTGGTCCAGGGTAAATCAGCTGTGCTCCCCCAAACCAGCTTCATCAGCACTTTTGGTTCCAAGAAGTCCCCTTTCCATACCTGAACCACGTTCCTAAATGGCTCTCCATGTCTAAAAGGAACAACCACAGAGACACCCAAACTCAATGTGCTCCCAAAAGAAAACCCTGAAGTGGTATGAGCAGAGGCAGAACGATTGTCCACTTACAAGGGATGAAGCTATCAACATCTTCCCTTGACATTCTACAACCTTCGCTGAGTGCTGCTCAGGCTAACACACCTCAGTAGGTACTGAGTGGAGAGGGGTGCAGCTGGGCGTTGAATCCAGCTAATAATCCTGAGGTTAGTGCTATTGTTTCCATTTGCCAAAGTGGAAAGCCCATCCTGAGAGTTTCAATAACCTACCCAAGGTCACACAGCCAGTGTGGTCTAATACCAAACCCATGTCTGTCTGTCTGTCTGTCCCTACGACCTGACATCAGAAATTCACTGAAGATGGCCCCTGTCATCAAATAATGTGTAGAATCCAGTAGAAAAAATTTGGTTCTTTTTTTTTCCCCCCTCGAAATGCCTAATATGGGCAAAATTTTGTGGTTGGCCGTCTAAAAAGACAGCAGGGTGTAAACTCAGTTTCTGCCCTCAAACCAGTCATGTATGGAGCATGGTCTCGCTGCTGTGGACACTTCTGATGAGTGAGGGAGACAGAGTCATCACCTTTCCCCCAACTTCCAGAAGCATATCCTCTCCCTCAGGAGATTCTTCGCCTCAGTTCCGGCATTATCCACCTCTCCCTTGTATGTCTAGCTGTGCAGGTCTGTCTCATCTGGAGCTATGGAAAACTCATGAAGGAAAGGACCAGATCTTTGCTCATCTATCTCTCCCCATGGGGCCTTGCTCTATATTTAGGCATAAAAAACCCTCAGTCATTGAACTGGGTAAAGGATCACAGTTCAAGAAAACAAGGCATGAGGGAAGGAGAAGGGGGAGGGCTCACTTGTCACATGAAATTACGCTCCTTTCCCAGTTTGTGCCTGGAGCAAACTCTTGTTCCCAGGACAACGGGATAAGCAAGGAGAGGAGGGGTTAGGTGGGATCTGTGAGGCCAGCTAGCTCCTCAGTCATGCTATGACTGGGTTTGGTCTTGAAGCATGAGAGAGCATCCTATATGCAACCCAAGTTCCTGTTTGAGGCCTCTTGACACTGGAATGTACGACTGGTTGGTACCTTCTCCCCGCCTCTGCCCGTCATCAAAAACAAAAACTGGAATGGGGAGCTATCCACAGTGCTGGGGTGCTGAAGCACAGTCCAGTGCCCATGTGTATCCCATTCCACAGCGGGACCAATTTGTAAGATGTCTCCACAGTTACTCTAAGTATCATGGGATCGTGGAGCATCCCTTAGAGAACACTGAATCCACCTTCCCTGCCTATTTCCAGGTAAGGAAACTGAGTCCCAGAGAGGCTGTTTTTTCCTACATCACAGTGCTAGCGAGGGAGCCTAAGCTTTCCATGTCCTGGCTCAGTGCTCATTTTCCTCACCTTTCTGATAGGGAGTTACACCTACTCCCCCTTTAAGAAGAGCTCTCTTTTCTGATTATGTCTTTTCTGCTGCATGACTTAGTAAAAGAGAAATGCCCGGGTTCCAGGATCAAGTCTGCCACTGGCTGGCTACATGGCTTTGGACAAATTGATTCTCAACTCTGGGCTTCGTTTATACTGTCTGTAAAATGAGAAGGGAGGATTAATACAGGGAGGCAACCATATGTCCTATATCGCTTTGTTCCCTTCTCCCAAGCCCAGGCAGACATCAACAATTGACCATGACGTTCTTTACCACGCTGAGTCCGGACTCAGTATTGTTCTCATCGAGGTGCTCCAGGCCATTACTACCAGCTGAATGGAGCTGGTTCATGAGTGGAAACCCATTTCCTGAACTAAAGACCTTTCCAACCTTGACATTCCAGAATTCTCTGATGACAGCTTCCTCCAGGGCTCCTCTCACAGTTCCTTCCCCCTAGGAGTCTTGCTTGCTTGCTTTTCCAGCTCAGCTCCCTGACCTCAAGGTTACCTCTCACAACTGGCTTTGCATCAGCACAATCCATTCTGCTACATACGCCTGCCCCTTTTAGAAAAAGACACAGAAATTACTCAGGCCACTCATGGGGGGGGGTGCTTGCATCATTAATTGTGGCCGATTATGTTGAAGTTTTAGGAAAAACTGGAAGTAGGGAGGTGGGAGAGAATAGAAATCCAAACAGCCACGCGGAAGGGGAAAGTTCAACCAATTTAATTTCCTGCAGCTGGTCTCATTCTTCAGCTGCCACTCGCTGCCAAAAACATGGCTTTGAAAATTCTAATAGGTGTGAGCAGAGACGATCTGTATGGATCAGCGACGTCTCCTGCTAGCAGGAATATACACTAGAAGCTAATGAAAAAATAAGCAGATCTGGACTTCTTTCATAGAGACACAAAATGGATTGACACAAGCAACAAAGAGAACATTAACGTTAATGTTTACAGAGGGGGTGGGAGAGGGGCTGCAGGCCCTTATGGTGTGGAAGTTGCTAGGATCCACTTACAGCTGTTTATTTCTAAATTCTGAAGTGGAACAGCTTGTTTCCCTGCAGCCATGCTGAGATCCCTGGGCTGCCATCAATAGACTATATGGGGGTGAGGGAGAGCCCTCCCCCCAACTCCTGGGTTCTGTGCCAAGGCAGAGCCAACATGAATGAAGATTTCAGAGCTGTGTTGTTGTTTTTTAAAGCTTCGCTTTTTAAAGATTTTTTTTAATATTTAAATTGATTTCTAAAGAGAGGAAGGGAGAAAGAGGGAGAGAAAAAAACATGGATGTGAGAGAGAAACTTTGACCAGCTTCCTCCTGCATGCCCCCTGCTGGGGATCAAGCGCCCAATCCGGACATGTGCCCTGGCCAAGAATCCATCCAGCAACCCTTTGGTGCACAGGGCGATGTCCAACCAACTGAGCTGCACCGACCAGGGCTCACAGCTATGTTTTGAAAGCCTCGGTCCTATCTTTAGGTTTTGCGATCCAGTACAATTCCCAAACTCTCGAAGCCTCCATTTTCTTCTCTGTAAAATAAAGGTATGAATATTAATATGCATCTTGTTGGGTAGATAATAATAACCACTTGCTGACTGTTTACTATGTGACAGGCTGACACTCTTTTAGAGATTAAATGAGGTAATATAAAGAGTGTGTCACAGTGCTTGATCTGTAGTAATTGCTTGATACTTACCATTGCCTCATCATCAATATCATCCTTTTTCCCTCTTGGCATCTCCTCCCCTTTTCTTCTTTGGCATCGTTTTTTCCAGTATACCTTTATCCGGGTCTCCTGATGTTGCATAGTTAAGTAGGTTACGATTCCAATGTTCACAGATTTTGCAGGCAAAGTGACTCGTGTCTGAGTCCTGCCTCCACTATTTACTATCTGAATGCTCACCAACAAGTTGCTCCCCTCTCTGTACCTCAGTGTTCTCTTCTATAAAATGGGGATACTATTGTGCCTGCTTCAAGGGTGGTTGTGAAGATTATATGAGGTAATGTAGGTAAAGTCAACAAATATGACCTAAAGAGACTGTCCCAAAGGGATTCATCCCTAGTCTATGATAATTTGGGTGAATTCTGCTGCAAAAGGCCCCGAGTGAGAGCCAGAAGCCTGTCCCATCACCAGGGTGACCCGGACCAGGCCACATGCCTCCCTTCAACATCAATTTTGTTTTGGCGGAAAGAAGTGGGTGCTCCCTGCTCTCCCTACCTCTCAGGGTCAGCAGGAGGTGAGATGGAACGGGCAACCATAACAGAATGGCTTTGAAAAGTCAGACTTGCTACACGAGTGAGAAATTTCATGAGATGGCTTTGGTCCAGCCTCCGCTCCGCATCAGTAGATTTCTTGATCTGGGGGAAAAGGTGCTATTGGGTGCAGACAGGGGGTGGAAGGCCTGT